AGCTAATGGATTAGACGGTCGACTTGTCATACTTCTCGAACAAGAGTGTGTAGTTATAATGTGAAATGTCATATTTTGTTCAAGATTGTACCTAATGATAAGATTTAGATTGTACCTAAAGAAGAAATCAACTAATGAATTTCCAGTTAACTTAGTGCGCGCTTGTGAAAGCTAGCATTTTTTGTTTCATTTCTTCTTTTCTTTTTGACAATTGTTGATTACATTGATATTATTCGTCGGCCATATCTTGTAATTTTCCTATCAAATTTGAAAAGCGTGTTTTATTAAAAAGAATCATTCAGTTCGACTTCGTTTATCAGTATTAACGAGTCATGGATAATTAAATAAAAAACCATACTTTTTGAGTCATAAAGCACATAGGTGGGTCGAAAATCAATGATAAATTATAAAGCGCTTCATTGCAAAGTAAAATCACGCTTCATCTCCTCCCAAATGCGCCTACCATCAACAGTGGCTCATCTCCTTCGCCCTTCTCCCCTTTGCTCTTACACCCTTCCAACTATCACTTTAAACCATAAGATCAACGAGTGCGTGCGCAGCGGCAACCTCACCGCCGCCCGGAAATTGTTCGACGACTATCCCCACTCGGCAAATGCCGTCTCATGGAACTCCCTCATCAACGGCTACGTGAAAGCTCGCCAAATTTCACATGCCCAGAAGCTGTTCGACCAAATGCCCCAAAGAAACGTAGTTTCTTGGAACACAATGCTTTCCGGCTTTCGAGACGAGAAGGCCCCACAAAAGGCCCACCAGTATTTTTTACTGATGAAAAGGCATGACGTGAGGCCTGAAGAACTCACGCTATCCGTGCTCTTGAGCGCGTATTTGAATACGGAGTTTGATGTTTTGGTCCCTCAGCTGCACGGTCTCGTGGTCCGTTCAGGGCTCGACCTTAATTTATACTTAGGCTCCGCCTTAATGAGGGGATATGTTGGTTTGAACGATCGCGATGCTTTTCGCAGGGTTTTTGATGAGATCTCGGTCAAAGATGTGGTGGCCTTCAATGTTTTGATCTTGGGTTGTATGGAGTTCGGGATGACGAGCGAAGCCAAGAGAGCTTTTGATGTGATGCCTAAAAGAAATGATTTTTCTTGGAGCATAATGATTACCGGGTACATGAAGAATAAAATGGTTTGTGAAGCAAGGGCAGTTTTTGACGAGCTAAGTGAAAAGGAGGTCGTGTCTTGGACTGCAATGATGAGAGGGTATGTGAGATGTGAGAAGTTCTCCGAGGCTCTTGATATGTTCCTTCTAATGATGAAGTCCCAAACGCGTCCTAATCATTACACGTTCTCGAGCGTGTTGGATGCTTGCACGGGTTGTCTGTCTCTCGTCACTGGCAAGCAAATTCATTTGTGCATTGTGAAATTCGGAGCCCCCTTAGATGTGATTCTCGCCACAGCCCTTGTCGACATGTACGGTAAATGTGGGGATGTAAATGCTGCATTCTGCATATTTCAATCCATGCCGACTAAAAATTTGGTCTCGTGGAACTCAATTATTGGGGTGTACGCGCGGCATGGACTTGCTTCTCGGGCATTGGAGGAGTTTGAAAAGATGGTGGAAAGTGGTTTATTCCCCGACGAGATTTCGTTCATAAATGTTCTATCGGCTTGCGTGCACGGAGGACTTGTGAAAGAAGGAGAAGAGCTTTTCACCTCCATGCGAGAAAAGTACAGAGTGAAACCCGAGATGGAACATTACTCGTGCATGGTGGACTTGTACGGTAAGGCGGGTAGGCTAGAGAAGGCCGAGGGATTGATTAAAACGATGCCCTTTGAGCCGGATGTGGTTGTTTGGGGTGCGTTGCTCGGGGCATGTGGCTTGTATTCTTGTGTCGAGCTTGGTGAGATTGCGGCAAGTGGGTTGCGGAAAGTGGAAGACGATCATCCTGCAGTTTATGGGGTTTTGTCGAGGATATATGGTGAGAATGGGGTCCGAAGTGGGGCGATCCAGCTGGATGAGTTGATGAGAAGATGGCGTTCAAGAAAACAAACGGCTGGGAGCTGGGTTGAATGAAGTAGAGCTACTGCAAACGAACCGAGCATTGACCAACTGATTTTTTTTTTACCTACTAGAGCTCGAAATCGACTCGACAAAAGAAGACAGTCGCTCGAGATGGATTGAAATCAAAATCGCTTCGAGGATGTATGTGTACTTGGAAAGAAGCAATTTTCAGTAGGTGAGATAATAATTGTTCTATGAGATAATTGTTCTTTTTGTTTTCCCTGTAATTAGGTGAGAGTGAGAGTTGGTGTTTGTAAATGGTTTCATAAATCAAATACGAAAAAACATTTCCAATTAAATTCAAGATACTACTGTCATAAATCACACTAGAGTCTACAGCAATTCGCACAAAAACACAATTAAGTATCAAATTAGACAAACAAACAAGTTAAACCTGTGGAACTAACAAAAAGGCCACTCAAATTTGATCAGATCCCTTTCTCAAGCATGGCTCGAACCCTAATAGGCAGCCCGTAAAGTCGGATAAAACCAGCGGCATCAGCTTGATCGTAAATCTCCCCAGTCTCAAACGAAGAAATATCCTCCCTATAGAGACTATACGGGCTTTCCCGGCCCGTCACACTCACCGACCCTTTGTAGAGCTTAAGGGTTACCGACCCAGTCGTGGTCTTGGTGATTTCCTTCATGAAAGCATCCATCGACTTGCGGAGCGGGTCGAACCACCGACCAGCGTAAACCAGCTCAGCGTACTTTAAGGCAAGAGAGTCCTTCACCTGCATACTCTCCCGATCGAGTGTCAGAGACTCGAGCTCACGGGCCGCCGCAAAGAGGATGGTCCCACCGGGAGTCTCGTAGACCCCACGGCTCTTGACGCCCACCAGCCGATTTTCGACCATGTCTATGCGCCCTATCCCGTGCTTCCCGCCTACTTGGTTGAGCTTCGAGAGTAGTGTTGCGGGTGAGACTTCTTTCCCGTTTATCGAGACGGGAATGCCCTCGACTATGCCGATTTTCAAGTACTCGGGTTCGTCGGGTGCTTCTTTTGGGTCGATGCTCATCATGTACATCTCCTCCTTTGCCTCCTTTGCTGGGTCCTCCAAGATATCCCCCTGCAAGAGGTTATTAACGTGCAGATTATTAAGTCAAAATACTATTTGCCACTCAAACGAAATTATTAAGCCCTGGAGATATATATAAATTGACTCAAATCCCTACAATGCCTAACTTAAGGAAATTGACTCTTCATTAGCTCGTCGATGAGAAGTACAGAAACCAAAGATGTTTAATNACAAAACAGATTGTGTGACATTGTAAGAGCTGTTCATAAATATAACGAAAAATAAAAAAAAAAGTAAAGGAACAAAAATCAGAAAAGATCACTAAAATACCTCATGACTGAGATGCCACAGATTCCTATCCCGACTATAAATAGATTTCTTGGTCACAGGAACAGGCACATTATGCTCTTTAGCATACTCAATAGCGTCTTCTCTTCCAGTTATTTCCCATTCCCTCCAAGGAGCAACCACACTGAGATCTGGATTTAGAGCAAAGAATGTGAGCTCAAATCGGACCTGCAACCATCAGTCTCCTACTGTTAAGCAACAAAACATACTAAGGAAAGGAAAAAGCTTAATCGAAGATCATGGAGCGTACTTGATCATTTCCCTTCCCCGTGCAACCATGTGAAACAGCATCCGCTCCAACCTCTTTGGCAACATCAACCATTGCCTGCACGGTTTTTCAATGCAATCACATTTATTCAGATTATATATAAACATAGGAAAAACATCAACTTTTTTTTTTAAATTTAATCTTTAACCTGTACCTTTGCAATGACTGGACGAGCCATTGAAGTCCCAAGCAAGTACTTCCTCTCATAGATAGCACCAGCTCTTAAGCAAGGAAAGATAAAATCTTTCACAAATTCCTCTTTCAAATCCTTCACAACTAGTTGACATGCCCCACTGGCCTTGGCCTTTTGTTCCAAACCTTCCAATTCTTGTAAGCCCTAACATTCATAGGATTTTATCGAAACAGAGCACATTCATTAATTATTGAGAAATAAACCATTACTTACCCTGGCCTTGTTTCTTCCAAATACATTTTCAATGTCAACACAAATAATTATATCTAAGCATGACTTTTTATACTAACTTAACAGCAAAATGCAAATATCCACTTCTTATATATGGATGCAGTCTTATAGCTTTATTTAGCACGTACTTGACCAACATCTGCAGTGAAGCAAACAACCTCGCAGCCATAGTTCTCCCTGCATTTCACAATCCAGAGAAAAGTATATTAAATGCTCCAAATAATACTTACATACAGGCCATCAAAAGCTCATCATACGTTCTAGGATATTTGTGGAATGAATATAGGTATCCTAGTATATTCTCATATCAATTAAATCTTAGACTTCTCAAATTTGCAGTACTTACCTATAACCCTCCAATAATGAACGCTAGCATTCAACTTAACCAAGAAGTGATATAAATAGCATGATCTACTGTTACATTCAAGAACATTTTGTCTAGCATACCTAAGCCAAGGTACAAATTACAATCCATATTCCTGAGAAGAATCAAAAGTATATTTGGCTTTGGCTAGCATACCTTAGCCAAGGTACAATTACAGAGGTATCTAAACCTCCACTGTAGGCCAGGACCACTTTGTTTAACTTTTTACGCAGAACTTTTCCATCCACGCCACTGGAGGTTGATGCCTTCTCATCACTAGCTAAAACTGCTTGGATAGCTGTATCAAAAATCACTGGAGATTACAAATCTTTATCAAAATTTATTTACATACAACTCGGTAAAAAAAAACCTCTAGCACCCATAACTACATTTCAAATTTATTTGCTGCCAATAGGAACTACAACCATGTACACGAACATGTGCAAATAGATACACACGCATAAACGTGCACNTGGAAAGAAACAGAATTCTCTTGAAATGAATTCACATGAGATAAATCAAAACACGTAATTGGACAAGCAGAAAAAGGAAGCAGATCCTATACAACAATGAAACTGATACCATGATTGCCACGGTTAATGCAAAAGTTGGCAGCTTTCTGGACAACAGCAGGGCCATGAAATTCACTAGCTTTCACCCCTACCTGGATTAATTAAACATTCAATAAATATTATCAAATATAAAATCCATCGCATATCAAGCTTTCGGGGGGAGGGGGGATAGAGTAAAGGCAATTCGGCATCGAAACAAATACCTCATGTTGTGGAGTTACTTTTCTCGGACACAGAATGTGGCTGATTCCAGCTGAATCTACATTTGAAAAGTACATACACACTTTAAAATCGGCTGAAGATGGAACTTTTGATTTCTATACACTGCAGTAGCTATATAGACTCATTACATTACCTCTTTTCGAACCATGGAAAAAACGATTGGCAGAGGAACATGACGATATGGCATGTACTTGAGCCATCCCGTTATTTTGGCACAGTGGTTTTGCGAGGATCTTGCCNGAACGAAGACCAGAAACAAGAGAAGACACGAAACCATTAATTAGGAACAACAAGCTTGAAGAAAAAAAAATACTGACCGTAATCAGAAATGAATAACAGCTATATCCGCAGGATACTGGTCGAGATGAGGGGATGAAATACCAGCGGCGGTGGCGGCGGCGCGAGGTGGAAGTTGGTGAAGAAAGAAAAAGGGAACGGCAGTAGGCAGTGTGAGGCTTTAAACTGACTCCCAAGTCCCAACATATGCTAATGGGTCCCGCAGTGGAAAGGTTCCAAAGCTGAGTTTTTTCTCCTAATTAATAAAATATTATTGCTTCTTTATATTTATGTATTGCGAAAAAACAAATATTAAAATATAAAGTCACGGAAACATGAAAATAGGGTATTAAGAATTATATTTTCACAAAAAAAATAAAATCTCTGAAAAAATACACAACATTAGAGAATCGTATGATATATAATATTTGTAGCTAAAATATGAAATAATTATTTTGATAAAGTGAACACCATTAAAAGATCGAAAAACATATAAGATTCATAGCTAAAATTTGTAATAATTATTTTGAGTTAAGTTATTACACACCAGTAAGAGAATCGCAAAATATATAAGATTTGCAACTAAAATATGAAATAATTATTTGGATAAAGTGAACACCATTAAGAATATATGACTCATATAGCTAAAATTTGTAACAATTATTTTGAGTAAGTTATGGTCGGATAATTATTTAAGTAAGTTATGGTTGTTGAGTAGGATTTTTATTTGAGTAGATTCAAGTAATTTAGGTTCGAGTTGCTTGTTTAACAAACGAGTCTGTTCGACTCAACTTATTTATTAGACTAGCCAAAAACTCAGCACATGTAAGCTCTAAAAGCTCAATTCAGTAAACAAATTTGAAAGCTCAAACGAGTTGTTTACATAAGAAATGTCCATACATAAATAAGTTTGGCTCAACCTTTCTTATCAGAAAATAGAAAATAAAAATAGATAAATAAACTCGACTCTCGAGTAAACGAGCTCACATAATTCAGGCTCTGCTCGTTTGAGTAAACAAACAAACCGATATCAAGCATGAACAGAACCCAACGGTGTTCATATCTCCAACGCTGATTTAAGTTACATTAATACAATAAAAAGTTTCACACCTAATGCAATGGAGACGAAAATATATAAAATTACGGATATATAGTGAACTCCCAAATGAAACCAGACAAATATGATGATAAGAAAGTCCAACTTGAAAACCCACTTCAAATCAGAGTCTAAAAAAGGCTGCTGTAAGCTTGTAAAATTCTTGGTCCAATGACCATTAATAGCAGCCATAGTAACAGAGATCATTAACCCGAATGTGGTAAAAATACATGTGAAAATATTTTTGTCACACTTCACTTGATTAAAGCTCTCGAACAAAACGTTGAAAATCGTGTTCGTTCACCTCCTATTCCTGCTCTCTTCTTTGGCACTCTCCCGCTTCTTATACAGTTTTTCTAGTTGCCGCTTGGCCTCGCAATTAGGAAAGTTGGTCAGATCATAGTAATGAGGCGCAATGTCTACCAACCTGCAATATTCAAAGGATAGCATTTAACCAAAATCCAAACACAACCTAAATTGGGACTATTGTCAATGTGTCACAAAATGTGGATCAAAGATAATTCCACTCAGTTTCATGGATATTTCGAAAGAAAAGCCAATATTCAAAAAGAGAAGATGAGGTCAAATTTATACATGATGGTACTATAAAACTCACCATTCACCACGAATATCTGTCACTGTCCGGATGAAATTCCTGCTTGTAAGGACATACTCATTGTAGATAACCCACTCCGGCTTGTGGTCAAGGCAATTTGAAGGATGCAGGTGAACAATCTGCGAGTTGTAAAATCAATTAAGGTAAATGAACAAAAAGGGGACAACACGTATACAAATATGTAAATTATAGAATATTTATCATGAGACAAACCTGGTTGTCTTTCACGGTCAAATAGTGGCCCGTGCGCTCCAAATGGGCAACCTGCATGAAGTAACCAGCCAGCATAGCCTTGCGGATGTTCACATAGTAATCGCGGCTGTTGAAATCTGTGCTGCACAGCTTCAGGTTGAATCTGGCCATAATCCGAGCTAGCTGCTGCCTCACATTGTCCGCAGATTTCAATGCCCTGTGGTTGACAAAATTCTCATAGCACCACTGTGGATCTTCCTCTACAGTTGATATCAAAACGGGCAAGCATTAGCACAAGTGCCATATTTTTCGTTCAAAAAAGGAAAGGGAAAAAAATTGATGGAGTTGAATCTATCACTTACTGTTTTGCTTGTAAGCATGGTACACGTTCAATAGCGTGAGATGATCCCCATCAATGTGGCCAAACCTGGCTTTAGCTTCATCTGCAGCCTTTTGAGCTTCCCTAGGCCGGACAAAGCAATTGGGTACTAGAGAAAAAAGTGGTTATCACAGAGGAGGCCCACGGAAGGTCAGCAGATTGTATAGAGGCGACAGACGGCAACATTTGCTTCAAATACTGAGAAACTGCAACTATCTGCATCAGCACTTACTTAGAAATCCTTGGTACATGCCAGATGAGGCATGAAACCCAGACAAGAGATGCTGATGACAACCCTAAACAGACACTCAAATATCCTAACCACAAACACGAATGTCTCTATAACTCGTGTATGAGGTTAATATATTTGTGAATTACATTTACACAGAAGCTTATCTGTGACATGTAAGACAAATGCATAAACTTCACAAATTGTGAAGCACATGCTAGACTAGAAGATATCTACTTACGCAGTAGATACCCGACATCCTTACCTCAGAAAGGAAAAAAGTAATGCAAGTAGCTTGATGTACCTGAAAGCATAGCGGATATAGAAAGGATTTCGTTGGAACAATTGAAATCCGGGCTGACAACCAGCATTTTCGCCATCTGAGGATCTAAGGGAAGCTCACTCATGACCTCGCCCAACTTGGTCAAGTTCCCATCATCATCAAGGGCTCCTAGGTAATTCAAGACTTCCAATGCTCTCATCAGCGTCTCTGGAGCAGGTGGGTCCATAAAGTCAAAATGGACCAAATCATCTATCCCCAACTTCTTCAAAGTCAATACAGTGTTGGCAAGGTTCGAACGCAATATCTCCGGATATGTCTGAGGTACAAGATCGTTATTGAAACTCTTTTCAGTGTAGAGCCTAAAACATTTTCCGGGTTGAGTTCTTCCAGCACGACCCGACCGCTGGTGAGCACTAGCCTTCGAAATAGGAGACACCAAAAGCGACTCAACACGAATTCGCGGGTTATAGACTTTTTGTTTCGCAAAACCAGGATCTATGACATAGACTATGCCATCGATTGTTAAGGATGTCTCGGCAATATTTGTAGAAACAACTATCTTCCTTCCAGGCGGGCCACCTTCCACTGCCGGTGGTGGAGCAGGCTCGAAAATCTTCTGCTGCATAGCTGGAGGAAGAGTGGAGTACAGTGGAACTATTTTGGCCGGTCCCACTTGATCACCAGCATTAGCAAATTCCTTGGTCAATTTTCTACAGGCATCTTCTATTTCCTCTTCACCAGTGAGGAAAACAAGTATGTCACCAGGAGGTTCACAAAGATGAATCTGGAAAACGGTTTTTATTGCAGCTTCAAGGTAGTCCCTTTCTGGCTCCTGAGTATAGAAAATCTCAACAGGATGAAGCCTTCCAGGAACTTTCATGAGTGGAGCATCACTGAAGTACCCTTGAAACTTTTCGGCTTCAAGAGTGGCACTCATAACAACTAGTTTAAGGTCAGGCCTGTTCCTCAACACTTCCTTCAGCAGCCCAAATAGAACATCTGTAGCCAAAGTTCTCTCGTGCGCCTCATCAAGAATTATCACTTTGTATCTCTCCAATAGTGGATCTGTCATGGCTTCTCTCAAAAGCATACCATCTGTTAAATACCTGCATTGTAATCAAAGATGACATGTTAGGGAACCATTTCATAAACCAAAAAGAGAATATAAGATGAAGAAACAGTAGAAACTTTAGGAAAGTGATAAAAGTCATACTTCAAAACAGTTCTTGAACTGCTGCAATCCTCAAAACGGATACTGTAGCCTACTTCCTCGCCTATTGTAACATCCATTTCTTCAGCAACTCTCCTCGAGACAGACATAGCAGCCACCCTTCGAGGCTGAGTGCATCCAACCATAAACTTCTTGCGCTTATCGGGACTCTCTATCTCAATTGCATCAAGAACAAACTGGGGAATCTGTAACAAAACCAAATAAAAGACCTCGCTCAAACAATTAATTCAGTGCTACTGAATCATCATACACTTTTTCTAAATAAACAGGAATGTAATAGCATATAGCATCTAAATGCTCGAAACACATTTGCAGGTACCTTAAAAGACAAAACAACAATAACTTAACAGAAATATCAGCAGGATATCACATACGTTTTCAATCAACGGAAAATTGCGAACTTTTAGATTCTTAAGAAGGTGTTGGCTATGGATACTGCATACACAACTCTCATTCCAACAAATAACAAGCACAAACGGTGGCACAAACATTAACGCGACACGGACCTGCGTGGTTTTACCACTTCCAGTTTCACCGACAAGAATTAGGGTCTGATTGGCCTTAAGCGCCTGCAGAAACTCCTCCTTCTGGTGCCACACGGGGAGAGTCTTCCTCTTCTCCAGAATCTCATAATATCTCTGCGAATAAGGTCTCGAGTTCCACTTGTTTACCGTCGAAGGCACCCCCGACGAGGCTCCGCCGTTGACCCTGGACAACTTCGATAACGACGTGTCGTCCACCACGTCGAACAGGCTCACCTTCCTCTTCCTCTCTGTTCCCATCTACCTCAGATGACGACGCCGCCGCCGGAGCTTTTTTGTGAAGATTCCGGTGGCGGTGGGCAGATTATGAGTGAGGGGCAAAGGAAAACCCTAGAGAGAGAAACTGGGAAAGGGGGTGCCTAGGGTTTGCGATGGAGATAATAAATGGGGGAAAATGATGATGAATGTCGAAAGGGAAGAAATCACTCATCTGACCAAATTATATACTTGGGCTACGGCCCAGTTAAGATGTTATCATTTGTAACAGTGGATTATATACTTTAGCTACGGCCCAGTTAAGATGTTATCATTTGTAACAGTGGATTATATACTTTAGCTACGGCCCAGTTAAGATGCTATCATTTGTAACAGTGGATCTGTTAATGAGGAGCAAAACCGAGCCCAATGGGTTAATCCAGTAAGACGTATTATGGTTTGGGCCCTTCTAAATATTTACTACATATTTTTATTTTATGTAAAAATATATAAAATAAAATCAGACATAAACTATCTATAAATGAGTTATAAATTAAAAATAATAAAATTTAGAAATCAAAATAAAAATTAACCACAAAAAAATCATTCATAAACCATAAAAGTTATTATATATGTAATTAAAAACGAATTTCGTACATGTACAAATGAAAAGAGATTTATAGGTGAATAACGTATTTTTGTCTTTAGTTTTTACTTTTTAACTCTTTAACAGTTTGCTTTGTTTTGACTTTTAAATTCGGTTTCTCCAATTCGTTCATTCTTTGCACAAAACAAACTAAAAAAAAAATAATTACATCTCTTGTAAATATTTTATACATATCACATTTTATTGTTATAGGTATATATTCACATTTAAAAAAAAATAGTTTAAGCAAGTGAACTTATATTTTCCACACAAATATTGCTGTGTGATGACTTAATAATTAGGTGGATCAGTTTATTATATTTTTCAAATAAAAATATGTTATATTTTAAAATACCAGACTTTTATTTTTTTAATTACAACATTTAGTATCACAATTTATTCAATTACAACATTTATGTGTTGGAAATGTTAATAATTTTGATGGGATGATCTATCTTGTTTTTCCTTTGAGTTCTGATAAAGAAAGAGTAAATCAAAAGACAATGGTGCTTCACTAGCTAACTGCAAACTTTGATAAAAGGAAAATGAATATGCATTGACAGCAAAGCTAAAACTCCCAAGTCACAGTAGATAAAAATTGCAATTATTAGTATCAAATTAGCATTTGCCATTGATTCTTCAAATATTAAACTTACAAATTGAAACACTGCACAATTGCAGCACAAATTTGCAGCCTGAAATGTGCACAGAGCAAACCATTTGCCCTCAGAGCTCAACCTCTTAGACACATACATGAAAAATAAATAAAGAAATAAAAGAATACAACCGGTTCAAGCTTCGATCTTTTTCTCCCTTTCTTTTGTAATATGTTAGCCGTCAGCCAATATATTCCATCGAACTCAAGTCGGTATAAGTAGCTACTGCACTGCCCTGCATTCAACAATGTCGAGCAAGCAAATCAACGGTAATTCACACGAGAACTAGTAAGAATAATTGAAATTCGCAAAATAAGATGTACAAACCTGTAGAACTGGACAGCTGTCAACCCTCTCGACTCTTGCGCTGGCTGAGGAGCCACATGAAGCCTCACATTCGAACTAGTGCTGCAACCAACACCTGCAAGAACATGCAATTAGTACTAAACACACAACAAGAACTTTGGAATGGTAGCTTCTAGAAAGTTGAAAAATTTCAGTAGTAGATGGAAATAATAAATAATAATAGAACTATGCACATTCAGATCTTTTCGACTACAAATTACCGATGCTTTAAACAATAATTACAGCTTTCGTTGTGAGTAATGATTTTGCAGAGGTGCATTTAACAAAATAACAATGGAAAGGGAAAAACAAAAAATATAAGGACCATGGATTAAATAAATACCTTGGATAATTAGCACTAGAAAAAACAGAACTGTGATGACCATAGCCGAGATGGATGATGACAAGGACGATGAAGATGAAGATGATGATGACAAGGATAGGGCTTTCATCTTCTTCAAAGCTTTTATTCGTTCGACTCTCTCCCTTTTCTTCACGGCAATCTTGGATATTTCCTTTAACAGCCGCATGTCAGAAGAATCTAAAGACGGGCCCCTTGGTGGCCGAGGCGGCTTGGGAGCTCCGGCCATTTTATTATCTTTCTCGAAATTTGGCACAAGCCCTTGCCTCGACTCATGTTGTCCCTCGCCATTTTCGATATCGATAGTAACCTCTTTATCTCTCGAGCCGCTGTTGTTGATGTTGCATTCCATTTTCCATTAAACGATTTCTTAGGTTTTAGTCCTTGGTTACGTACGCAACTGCAATTTTTCAAAATTGACGATAAATCGGAGAAAAATACCAAAGCCCTACGGACTTAGTTCTCAAAGGGCATCATAAAAAATTGGAACTGCTTCCAATTTTTCTTCATGTCAAGATATCATTTTTCCCTTTAATTTGTTCTTTTTTCTTACCACATTATCGCTCTCTACATTCAAGTATTATCAATCAAATTATCTTAAAATTGAAATATGAAAACATCCAAAAGCTACAAAAAACACCTTTAGTGATACCACATTCAACTAATTTTCTCCAAAAGAACAACAGATACAGAGGATCAAGCTCAAATTTCTAACCAAAAAAACAACAGATATACAGGATAAAGATCATATTTTTTACCAAAAGAACAACAGATAGAGAGGTCCAAGATCAAATTTTTAACCAAACAACAACAGATACAGAGGATAAAGATCAATTTTTTGGCCAAACACTAATGTAGCTGGAACAAGAGAACAACAGAAAGAGCGGACCAAGATCAAATTTTTAACCAAACATTAATGTAGCTGGAAACATGAATCTCAACAAGGGGCAACGAAGATAACGTAAAAGGAAAGAGATAACATTTGCAGGTAAAGGAAAAGAGAATATACACATAAGGAGAGTACCGACTACCGATCGAAGAAATATTATGCGGAGACCTTAAAATTACAGGAAAAATGGTGGAGAGGAGATGGAAACTGAGGATTTGGTGAAGATTGGAGAATGATTTTCATCTCTCCTTACTTTCCATCTCCCTGTGTTCAGAATATAATAGAGGCTACAGCACGGACAAAGACGAGTACAATTAGAATGGGCGGATTACGTCACGAACGCTTTATGTCTAGAGACGTGATGTCAGCAGCCACACACAGTTTTTTGGGTATTCCAATACCAGCCGGTTCAATTTCTCTAATGCTATATTATTTTTAAAAAAATAGTACTATGACTTTTTGGTAAATCTAGTTGATAAATTAGCTTATAACTGATAAGTTAATTTTTATTTATTAAATAAATTTTGAGCGTATAACTAATAATTTATGGCTTGTGGTTGAAAAGTTAGTTTATATGATAAAATTAAATTTCGAGCGTATAACTAATAACTTATATGACTTGTGTTTGGTAAATTAGTTGATAAACTAGCTGAAATAAAATTTTTAAGACTTATTTGAAAAGCTACCCAATGAGCTTATGAGATAAGCTCGAGTCTTTTAAAAAAAATTGTTATTCGAAACCAGACTTATTTGAATATAAGAAATTTATAAGCTAATCTTATAAATTATAAGATACGTTCCCATTTTTTGTCAAGACAGCCTTACATTAATACAACCAATGGTGTGTTTGGTAACCTTCATAAGCTACTTTTATAGCTTATTAGGTTGGTTTATAGGCTTCTAGTATGGAAATGTTTGGTTCGATAGGATAAGTTTTTAAATATGTCCGTTGAAATTTTCACTTCAACTATCTTATCAGTTATTTTTACAGAACACTTTTATTATATCAGCCATAAGTCCTATACTATTAGTTATAAGTTCGAAGGTCCACTTACAAGTTATCAGTTAGATTATCAACTAAGTTTATCAAACATTGACTAAAAATTATTTAGATAGACCAAAACATGCTTAATCGGTTAGGTGGTTGTGAAATCAACCGCATATAAATTGGTTAGACGGTCTAAGTGGAGAAAAGCTGACATGGTTTAGATGTTAGCCGATTGAGTTAAATTGTTGGATTGAATCTCTCAATTAGATGTTTGATCAATTAAATTCGCTAACTAACTTGTTTGGTAAATAGCGTATATGAAACGCTAAAAATGAAAAAACTCAATATATGAACGTTCATATTTACCAAATAACTATTTACATAACGTTACTATCATAAACTAATCAAATCAACTATTACAATCGCTATCAGTCATTTAATATATTTGAATCAACAAGTAGCTTATGTTAAAAGTTCAAAACAAAAAGAAGTGTGAAATGAAAGTGAAAAATAGTGGGAACGAGATGTTAAACGAAATCATAGTTTGATTCAACTTGTTTGATAAAAACGAGTCGAGCTCAAACTGGTTTAGTTAGCGTGCTCAATAAGGCTCATATTGACGGCTCGAGCTACTGCTCGGGGGTTTGGACTCAGAACACGCTTCACGAATCCATCTCTACCTGCTCGGCCTCGTCGCCAATGGACGACGAATCTCCGTCCTTCCCGCCCATTGAGCCCTCCAATTTCGATCTCATCGTCGTCGGCACCGGCCTCCCTGAATCCATATTCGCCTCCGCCGCATCAGCCGCCGGAAAAACGGTTCTCCACCTCGATCCTAACCCCTTCTACGGCAGCCACTCCGCCTCCCTCCCCCTCGACGACCTAGTCTCCTTCCTCAAGTCCCAATCTGAACCGCACACCCTATCTCAATCCCAATCGGAAACCCAATCGCCGCCCCAAATCGCCCACGGCGGTAATGGCGTTTGTATTCCTCTCTCGACTCGCCCTCTCTACAACGATCTGGAGATAAACGTCTACTCACCCGACATCATGGGACTTTCCAGGAAATTTAGCCTCGACTTGGCGGGTCCTCGGGTTTTCCTATGCTCCGACTCCATGATTGATTTGATCCTCAGGACTGATGTTAACCTGTACATGGAGTTCAAGAGCGTGGAGGCCTGCTTCTTGAGCGACGCCGAGGGTAAATTGGAAAGTGTACCGGACTCGCGCAGCGCCATCTTTAAAAGTCGGACTTTGTCTCTGCCTGAGAAAAATCAGTTGATGAAGTTCTTTAAGTTTGTGCAGGGGCATGTTGGGAGTGAGAGCGAGGGGGATAAGATTTCTGAAGAGGATTTGGGAAGTCCTTTTGTCGATTTCTTGTCGAAAATGGGGCTGTCGGAGAAACTAAAATCGTACAGATCGACCCATCTCCTTTCATCTCTCCTCTGTTAGTTAGAGTTCACTTGCATCCATTGTTTCTTTTGTGATGCTTATTGTTTGGCTTGAATGGATTGACTGTTCTTCTGCTGCATGTGTTTATTGTATGTTTCGGTGAGACGGTTCATTGGGCTTTATTTAGCACGTTTGATTCATTTTATTGTGTTGCAATGAATTATGGATGTTTGTACGTATACTTGCTGTAGTTTTTCTCTTATTGCCTTTCATTTACATCCAAAAAAGGTTGTTTAATTATTTTTTTTCTTTTAAGCATTTCTTATGCATTATGAAAATTGAGCTGTTGGGTAATATATTGGTATTTCCTAGCATGTTCATAAACTTGCATGTTTTTGTTTTTGTTTTTTTATCTGTTGGCCTTTTAGATTGTAATCTTTCTAAAGTGTGCAATGTTTATCCGCCAGGATAATTTTGTACACAATAGTGATGGCTGATTATGATCAGAGAAACTTGGAAGTTTGTAAAGATGTTATGGACACTAAAAGTGGGATTAATGGATTGGCACTTTATCACTCGTCCATTGGAAGGTCAGTTTCACCTTTGTGTTCCGCTAGTAGCTATCTGGTATTGTGAAAGAACTGTTAACATGGTGAAAAATGCTGGAAATATTTCTGGGTAGATAGAATTTATTGACAGCTGAAAGCATGAAAAATGTAAAATCACTTTGAACATTTGTATTAACATGAACAAATTCATCATTTTTTTAGCCAATGTGATCATCTCAACATTCAATAGTCATACTCGGCTAAAGAACTGACACAAGAAAGGCCTTAACTAGAAAGTTTTTGCTGAACATTTATAGGTTTTTCAATGCAAATGGTGCTATAATATATCCCATTTACGGTCAAGGGGAACTCCCTCAAGCCTTCTGTCGCCGTGCTGCTGTCAAGGGGTGCATTTATGTTAGTATAGTTGAATATTTTTAGATTATTGAATAACTGTTCCTATCTGTTTATCACGTATGTGCATTCTTTGCATTCCTCCGATGCCTTGCCATTTTGATTATTGCTAGTTGATTGTGTTTAGTTATTACTAATTGATAATGTCATTTCACATGTTTCATTAATTTATGTGTTGATTTTGTATACTCATGCTGCTCGGCACTTGCTTCATGTTTCATGNTGCTTAAAACTCTTTCACATGTTAGTATTATAGCTTTGAACATGGAATGCTATGTAAGCTCAGAAGTTTGTTGAATTTAGAATCCTTGGAGTAATGACACGGGTGTATCCACATATGCTTATATAAATATTTCTGTATGTATTTGTCCATATTAGTTAACATTTTCCTTCTATGTTTTTACTTAAATTGTTCTGAACCCTGTTACGAACTTGAGCTCTTATGGTAAGTTTTCCCCGCATGTCCTGTAACTTCTCCTTTGTTAAGTTTGATCAGGAGAGGCACTGGGCATAGAGCTGGAGAAATTACTAATATTACTACTATCTATATTTGACTTATGGCTTCTTTTTCTAGACCTTAGTTGGGCAACAAACTTATATATATAGTAATCCATTGTAGTTCATCAATGTTCCAATATACTAACAGTGTAAGGTTTATAAATATTTAAATAGTCTTCTTCTGACAATGGGATTTATTTATGTTAGAAGCTATGTGTATAACTGTTGTTTGGGCACCCTCCCCCTTTGAGCTATCTTTTGGGGATGAGTTCTACTCAAGCCCATTTATCAGTTTATTTTACAAATCATTTATCTGTTGTCTAAAACGCAAAGGAATATGGAAATAGGTATTATGTTTCATGAACAATTGTCTTTCAAACTTCTGCTTCATTGCCCGTGTCATCTTTACCAGTGATTGACGTTAAGAACCGTATTTCTCTTATGTTCTCTTTTGCTATGGTCTAATACTCTCCCTTACTATTGTTATTTCTTATGATGACAGGTTTTGCGAATGCCTGTGGCTTCTGTGCTCATGGATAAGGTGAATGGTTTTTGTTCATTGTTTCTATATATATTTGCCATCACAATTGCTGATTGACCGATTGGTCTATGGCATGTCATTATGTCCATCCATTATTAAAAAAAAAAAAGAAGTCTTTATTTATACATTTGTGTATCTTTTAGGATGGCCGAATGTATGAGGGCGTTAAATTAGCTTCCGGTCAGGAGTTATTCAGCTCTCAACTGATTCTTGCTCCACATTTCACAATCCCATCAACTTCGGCTCCTATTGAACAGGTGGCATCTTCACATAATGCCAGGCTTTCTGATACAAAAGAGAAGGTTGCTCGGGGAATATGCATTGCGAAGAATTCAGTAAAGCCAGGAGTTGCAAATTGTTTAGTGTTCTTCCCTCCGAAATGTAAGTCTTTTTGGGTTTGGTTTTGGCGGAATTTCTGTAAATAATATATATCGTTTTCTAATTTTTTCCTTCTCGGCAGCTTTGTACCCAGAACAAATTACAACCGTCCGTGTACTCCAGTTGAGTGGCAATGTGGCTGCTTGCCCCTCAGGGATGTAAGTTCACGCCACATATTCCTTCATCCATTATTAGCAATTTTAGCCATAAACTTTCCTCTCAATTTCCAAAATGAACCATTGTCTAACAATATGAGGCTATTTTTGGCTTGTTAAGAGTTACTTTATTGAACATAACAATGATTGTTGTAATTTTCTCTTCTTGGTCTACTGAAAGGAATATCGTCTGACATGTGTTCAATGACATGCTTTATTATCAGGTTTGTGACTTATCTGTCAGCTAAATGTGGTAATGCTGTAGAGGGGAAGAGATTACTAAACGAAGCCATAAACACACTGTTCTGTAAGGAACATTCGTGTGAGAATACGGAAGGAAAACCCTGTTTGCTTTGGAGTGCTCTGTATATTCAAGAGCTAACTGAGGTTTTTGTTTTGCCCCTAACTTCTTCGTTACATCTTCATTTGTTTTGTTCTGTTCTTTTTTTCAACTAGAAAAATGGAAAATGTACGGTATTAAGGAGATGGCGGCAAACCTCTCAGTGAACACGAAAAACTGTTTGTCTGTTTTCATTGGGCCTTTATGATGTACTTGTTTTTAAAATATTTCACCTCATCCAAAATTTTGCACGAATATTGGCATTTAACCATACTCATGATACGTTTGTTCTTACAAACTTTCAGTTTCACGGTGCTTTTCAGTCCATCACCTTCACGCCCATGCCTGATGAACATCTACACTACAATAACCTCCTTGATGCAACCAAAAAGGTAACGGCTATCAAGAAGTGCCTTCTGTTTTTGTTATTAGCTTATTGGACATTTGTATTTTGTTTTTATACGNATTTCAAGAAATATATCCTAATGAAGAATTCTTTCCAAAGATTAGCATGACAGATGATGATTTGTGATGATGGTAGCACATAAGGAGAGGAAATGGGAGCTGCTCTGGATTTGGAAATCGTATGTGTCGTTGTATTATTAATAACAGAAACAAAAAAATGGAAGGTTGTTTTATTTAGGTATAACTATTTGTGAATTCGACTTGGAAAATTATGCTGTGTTATGTAATCATCTTAGCTGAATAGCCTGAATAGCCCTCTGTTCTGTTTGCTGTCCTGTCGTAGTGAGTGTTATCCTCTGCTAACTTAAATCTTTGCTTGGTCACCTTATTTAGTAATCAGTTTAATGCCAAATGGAAGGCTTGATACCTTATTTGCTAATCAGTGTAATTGTAAATGGTAGCATTTATCTTCACATTTCTTTTAATTTAAGCCCAAGATCAAGTGTCCTTTGTTTTTGTTATCTTCGTCTACAACAGAAAATTAAAAATAGAAAAGTAATATCTTTAATATAGAATAAGGCCGAAAGATGTGTTGTATTTGTCCTCCTAAAACAGTCGCAATGGGAAAATCAAATAGTTGTGTTTTATCTTTTGGAGGTCTGCTGATGGTTCAGTAAGATAAAGATATCGACTTCTAGCAAGTTTAACCGAGTTAATCATGAAAATGTTGAGGGTGGGACATGAAAGACAAATTGCATGACTGTTTTTCCTTTATATGTTTGTTTATTTTTCTTTTCTGCACAGGTATTTGGGCAGGAATGCGTACTGTTCGGTACCCCACACAGGTCAATTATCAACATATGAACAACCTTGTATGAATTACAGAACATATCATTTGATAACTGTAGCATATACTTACAATTTAAATACCATTTGGTAACAACATCTATAGCATTTACTTACAATTTAAATGATCAAAATATCCTGAATCCTTAATGTAAGTCCCTCTGCAAATCAGTAAGCCCTCAATCTATACCGTCCTTTTTAAGCCGCATTTCTCAATTCTTTCCACAACTCTTTTCGAACATCAGAGCCAATAAAGTACGCTCAGTAAGCACGATAGAGAGTCTGTTATAATAATAATCAACGAGTGGGATTAGTATTTAGCAGCAACGGATAAACATCGACTCACAGTTGCAATAAAGCAATTTAAAAAACTAACTTGAGATAAATGCATATGCAGAATTATATCAGCAATTGCTATCAACATCAAACAATCAATGGATATCTGAGTGATTACTTTTTAACACCCATCTATACTCATGAGCTTGTTTTTACTTTTTAGCGGAACATCTCTAGCAAAACAACAATTTTTGTTTTCTTTTCTCATTTCAGACAATCATGGGCCAAAAAAACACGAGCTAACATCCACTTTAATAAGACATGGCTTAGCTTTGACAACTAGGAGAACAATACAAAAAAGAATAAGTTTGGGCTACAGAACTTTAGCTCTTAGTAACGAACAAGAGAAAGGTATGCCACAGTAAAATATGAATTAACACGTCATTATCGTCAGTTAAAAACACAGAGAATCACAAGAACAAAGCATTAAACATGGAGAACATCAAGTCTTAGCAAATAGAATTACCAGCTCTCCGCACTTCGCACTTCTAAGCTGATGGAAATACCATGGTTAAAGCTATCAGTATTTAGCACAGTCAGCAATATTTGTGCCGCAAACAGATGACATTTGTATCTGCAAAAATGAAGGGCAAAGCCTGTTGAGTATACAAAAAACTACAAATTATTCGAGAAAAATCCATACAAAAACCTAGTATAGCTTGGAGGAAAGTTCCAGCTCCGCAACAAGAAGTCATCCGAAAGGCACATGATCTTTCAAGAAGTTCAAAAATTCTAAATGAGGCAAAAATGAAAGTAGGTTAACATACTTAAAGAATATAACGATTCAATTCATCCAATTCCTAAAACATAGTCAAATTAAGCGCGAAAAAACAAGATATAAGTCAAACGAGCACACTGTAAACAAAAGTTGGATTAGTGTAAAATCAGTAAATATCAAAAATCAACATCGCAAATAACTTTTCACACCTGCCAAAGAATTCAATCCAAAAGCAAATCTTGGATAACCAATTTTTCCTTATCATCCGCCAGTATACACTCAAGCTCTTGAGCTGCAAACCATCTATGGTCCTTTCTCAATTGCTTGAAAAGTGCACTATACGTGCAAGCATCAGGCTGGATGCCTCTATCCAGCATCTCCTTGTACAATCTCAAAACCTCATCCCAATTGCCAATATCACAGTTCCCATTTATCATTATAGTGTACGTGTGCTTGTTCGGCAGAATTCTTTTTGTCTGCATTTCACAAAACAACTTGTACGCCTCGTCCATCTTCCCAAACTTAAAAAGCCCATTTATAAGACAATTGTACGTGATCGCGTTCGGAAAAACACCCTTAGCCTTCATCTCCGAGAAATACATAAATGCTGATTCTAACCTTCCCTGGCCCGCATGCGCATGAATCAACACTGTGTAAGTCACCACACTCGGGGACAAGCCTTTGCCCAGCGTCTCCTCAAACAATTCCCGGGCTTTCTCCAGGGCTCCCATTTCCAAATGAGCACGTATGATGCTCGTGTAAGTTACATGATCAGGGGTAAAACCGTCATTTATCATTTTTCGAAATAACTCATACGCTTCTCCCAGATCACACAACTTAGAAATCCCATCCACAAACACATTATAAATAATTACGTCAGCTGGGAACCCTTTTGTCAGCATCTCCTCTTGCAGCTTCAAAACCGAGCTCATGTCCCCAAGCTTCAAATTGCCGTCTATGCAGGCTGTATACGTGATTCGATCGGGCTTCAACCCGGCCCGCACCATCTCCTCGTAGAACTGTTTCGCCATGAGTAGATTCCCTATCCTGTAAGAACCGTTTATGAGGATTGTGTATGTGATGATATCAGGAGAGATCCCACAACCAGCCATCTCATCTTTAAACTTCCGCGCGCCTTCTAAATCTCCATTTCGCGAGAGCCCGTATATAATTGTATTATAAGTAACTACAGTCAGACTTAAATTCCTTCTTTTCAACTCGGATAACAATGAAAGAGCCTCTCCTATTTCCCCCAACACACAGTGCCCATATATCAGAACATTATACGAAATTACATCAACTGCCAAATGATGTTTTAGCATGACAGCTAACCCCTGCCAGGCATAATCTACCAGCCCTAGCTTGCAGTAGCCATACATCAATGAGTTATACGTGTACACACTCGGAAAGACTCCTCTATTTTTCATCTCCTCAACTAGCCCCAAAGCCTCAATTAGCATTCCCTTCTGACAATACCCACTTATTAAAGAATTGTAAGCATAAACCAAAACTTTCATCCCCTCTCTCGGCATCTCTTCCATTAACTCTTTTGCCTTCTCGAATTCACCTTTCTTTGAGAGCCCATCAATCAAGGCATTATATGTGACGTCGTTCGGGTGGCAACCTTTTCTTTGCATCTCGTGCAAAAGGTTAAACGCCTGTTGCAAATTCCCTTCTTTACAGAAAAAATCCAACATTGTATTGTACGTGACGAGAGTCGGCTCAATCCCCAAAATACCCATCCATCCATATATTTCCCTAGCTTTACCAAGATTATTTCTATCTCTAAGCAACCTAAGAACCCTATTGCAATTCTTCACGTCCGGCAAAAACCCATTATTGACCATGTTTTCAAAAAGCCATAAACACCTCCCGATATCCGAGTTCTTCGTGTACACCCACAATAATAAGTCGAGCACCTTGCCCGAAACCTCATTTTTCAAATGCCCACCGGTCAATAAGCTGACAATGCCATGCATGTTGACATCAATGACCCTCTCCACAACCCAGTGGGCAGAGCTCATGAGACCATTATGCACCAGCGCCCCAAGAACATTACAAAACACAATTTCCGAATGTTGAAACCCCTTTTGGCCCTCAGCCCACCGGAAAATCTTCAGCACCATCCTCGGCCGGTCCTGAATTGAACGCATCACGCTCACCAGTAAATCTGAATCACTCACCAACGCATTGAAATAATCCGGACCGACCCAGTGTGCATTTCTAAATGCCCCAGGATTTTCAAGCGCTGTTTTCAGGATTAGGTCCTTGTAAAGCCGGTGTGAGGGTTTAACCCGATAATCCCCTTTCGATAAATTTCCACCACTGCTAATATTCTCTACAGCCTTTGAACTCTGGCTGTTCAATTGCCTGGCGCAGTGAATATTTTGAGCGGGGAATAAGGTGAAGCGTGCCTTGAAGCTATAAGCAGCGTGGCGTGAACAGAACAAGGATGAGAAGTTTTTGGCGGGGATTAAAGATTTTGGAGCAATTTGGCAAAGGACCATTCTATGATGGGCGAAATATTTTTATCTTCTTGAACAAAAAGGAAATTGAGCAGAAAAGCTGAAGTGTACATTCATAAGATTACCACCGTGCAGCGCTAACAGTTGTGAAAATTGTTTTCAGGCTGTTCCTTCATTTTCTTATATTTTATTTTCTTTATTTTTCCTTATTTTTATTTTCATCGTTTTTTACTTTTTGGACTTGAGTGTGTATATAAATAAATATATCCGCTTAAAATGAGTTTTTTAAGTTATTCAGAGTTAATTTTAGAAAGAGTGGTTTTTTGAGTTAATCAGAGTTAATTTTAGAAAGAGTGGTATAGTTAGTTGTTAGTGGATTTTAATTTTATATTAAAATAATTAGAGTTGATTTAATATAAAAAGTATGAGAGAGATAATATAAAATGATAATTAGTTAAAATTATGTGACTTGATCAATAGTAAATTAAAATTGATGTGATGTGTAGGAATCATTGGTTAATATTATTTAATTATATTGAGAAGATTGAGGATGGTGTGGTTAAGTTAAAGTTGAGCTAGATTTTGAATATGAATTGAGTAAGAATTTAAATATTTCATATCCAAAAACACCCTGAGATTCGACCAATGTTTTGAAACCCGACCCACTTGATTGGTGCTCCACATCACTTCGTTTGATTGGATATAAGTTATGATTCAACTCAACATTGATTCATTCTATATATTATCACTTGATTCAAAATTGAGTTAGTTCGCTATCGAATCGTGGCAGATTCAGCACCCATTCAAGAGCATCAAATCCACACTTTAGTCGTTCGCTACCGGATCTCATACATCTTCCGCGAAGGGAACCAACCTGATGATTACCTAGCTAGCCTCGGTGCCTCCACTCCTCAGAGGCGCACTTTTGACCCGGACGGCTCCCCTCTTTGCCTCCACACTCTTGTGTGGATGGATCATGACGAGTACTTATCGTTCAGATTTCGGTAGCCTTTTGTATTTTTTGTGTTTTAGCCCACTTTGTGGTGCAGTGTGCTTGCCTGGGCACCTGTCAGCCCAGGTCCAGACTCTTCATTTTGGTTATTGGTTTTTCCTTTTTTGTTTATTGTTTGTATAGACCTGTGAATTCTTGTCCCAATTAGGATGTTGACTACATACAGGTTGGGGATCCAACCTTAATCCCCATCCTTCGGGGTGTTTCTTAAAAAAAAATCAAAATTCACGTAATTCAAAATTCAATTCAACTCAATTCTCTTACTTATAAATATAATTAAATAATAGTTATCAATCATTCTCGTACATCACATCAACTTTAATTTACTACTCATCAATTTATATAATTTTAACTGTTTATCATTTCATATAATTTTTCTGTTACTTTTAAATCATATACTTTAATCGTTATATTTTATTATTTAACTTCAAATATATTTTGTTCAAATTAACTCACTTTAACTGCCCAACTTGCATAGCATGGTTTAATCATTATGCTAGCGTCCTCGAATTATCGGTCCAATCATCAGATCAGGTCAATTGTTGAATCGAATAATTGTTTCAGGGCAATTATCATAGCGCCTACGTAGGTAATTAAAAATAAGGAAAATACCATTCACAAAAATATACTACCTCCTTTTTTTTATAAACTAGTACGTACCCCGTGCGATGCACGGGAGAGAGATATTAAATGAATTATTTTCACATGCTCTGTCCGTTTAAGTCTGAGAAGGGTTGTCATCCATTTTTCACCTCTTTTAATCACCGTTAAGTCCCGTTTAAGTTTGAAAAGGGTTATCATCCATTTTCCACCTCTTTTAATCACCGTTAAGTCTAAAAAAATAGGGTTGTAATCTATTTTTCACATCTTTTAATCAGCGTTGTTTTATTAGTCATAACATTAAACGTGAGCATGTTAGGGCTAACTTGTAAAATAATTAATATATTATCTCACTAACACATTTATATTAATATAAATTTAATTTTATTATATATATTTATTCCTTGATATAAGATAAAATAACAATTTTACTTATTCTTGTTCACTATATAATAGCTAATTACTATTTTACTATAAATTCTGTTGCCATATAATGTCATTATTATTTATAAAGTTATAGAAGTTGCACGTCTTCTTGTTCTTTTTTATTTTATGTAATGAAATATATTTAATGAACGTTGCTATTATTTATATAAGTAATCAATTTAAAATATGTAAATAATTTTAAAATTAAATAGTGTATAAATATTGTACAAAATATATACATATATTTTTTTATAATTTAATTTTGTATACTAATTAAACAACTTTGATTTAAGAAAAGCCATGAACTCAATCTCTTATAATATCAATATTTTTCTATTTTGCATTATAATGATTATTCTTATTATATATATAGATTGTAATTTTTGCGACACCAACCAAACTAAATATCACAACAACCAAGTAACAATTATGAAAAACTCATAACACAACAACTATCAATTAAATTTGGTAATAGAAAAATTACATACATATTTATAAATATATGAGGATTCTATATTTCTATTAACTGATGTATACAACACATGTATATTTTGTTAAGGTATATTAGAATGTTCAATTTCATAGCATGATAACAATCAGTCTTAAAAAATCGAAAATCTTATTGAAATGCCATATTTTTCTATTAAAAAAAAGTTCTCATAAAAAATTATTATATCATTGCAAATTCATTGTATAATTGAACAAATTTCTGTAATGAAGCCCGATTTTCTGTACAAAAATAAAGCAACAACTTCCACATTTTAAGGAAATCAATTAATGTTGGTCCGTTTTTGCTAACAAAATAATATATAAATAAGTTGTAATTAATGGAAACTAATTAATGATGAGAGAATTTGACCATATAGTTGACCTGCCATTTTTTAAAAATGGTAATTCTTATTATATATATAGATAAATAAATCAGTTAAATAAAATATTAATACCGAAATAGTAATGACATTTAATGCAGTTGACTTTTCTGGATACTAAATGTAGTAAATAGGATCCCCTTTTATATAAGTATAGATGTCATTTTGGCTTTATTAAATTTGTCTAAATAAATGACGTTTTGGATCTTTTGTACATGTTTTTCCATTATTATCTTTATCTAACTAATAAATACACTACGCCTTTTTATATTCACTATTTATATTTTCTCAAAATCCATCTCTATTCTCATTAATGAGGGTTATGTGGTAAAAAAAAATATTCTTAATTAGTGTGCAACTTTTCAAAATGACATCTATTAAAAAAAAGGAAAAGGAGGGAGTAAAATTTATATATTGCCCCGTATCGTCTTAACCAAAATATCGCCCATCACCATCAAGCTCGCGAACACTAATAATAATCCTCATCGTTCAATACATTCTGGTGCGAGCTCAAATTCATCTATATTTTCACGCACCAGAAAACACAGCAGCCATGGGAACTCTTATCCGCAGCCCACACCTCAACAGCAGCGCTCTTTGTTTCAAATGCCTAAACTCATTCACCCGCTCTAGAAATGTTCTGCGCTTAAATCCGGCGAAACCTATGAATGGATTCAGGGGATTTGAGAGAATAGTTTGTTCGGCCGTTGAAGACGCTCCCAACAAGCAGCGCGAAATCAATGGCGGCAATTTAAATGGAGCTGGCCCCGCTGTTGAAGACAAACTCGGTACACTAGAACGCTTTTCTTTCAATTGTAGCTTAGTCCTGTTCAAGAAATATTTTGATTTGGTTATTATAGTTTGATTTGGTAGTTCAATTGGCTAATTGCGAACTTCTGAAAGGAGCTGGCTATGTTGAGCATAATTTGAGCTGGTTATATATGAGGGTTTTGGTTATTAAGTCAATTTGATTACATTTTGGGGTCAAAAAGTGATGTTTTTTTCTCTCTTATTATAGTAACTGTAATATTGATGCAGCTAGCTTCGTTCGAAGAATGAACATTGTTTTGATGCTAACTCTTTTTAACTTGGTAAATCATTATCTACCTGAGTTGTTCTTGAATTCAAGCAGGTGGAGCCTAAAGCTAGAGATTTTGAGGAATGCAAAATTGGATGAAAATGAAAATTTATGAATTTTGGAATCTTTTACAGTGACTTGATTGTGCTACATACTTCATTTCCAGCTCTAGATCCACCAAAGTTTGTGGACGTGTTTTTCTGACATGTGGCTTGAACAATGCTAGCTGTTATAGTTATACTATTTTTGTTTGCGAACAAGTTACAATAAAGGAAAAATATGGTTACAATTAAGACGATGCAATTTAAAATGATGCTAAAACACGTCTCTTTTGGCACTGCAGATACGAGTGATGAGGTGTTAGAAAATCCTTTCCTGAACAATGACTCAGATGACGGAGGAAATTCTATTTATAATTTTCTCTATCCGAGTAAAGAGCTCCTCCCGGATGACAAAGAAATGAGTATATATGACCATTTAGAAGAGTTGAGAGAGAGAATCTTTGTGTCGGTTTTGGCCGTAGGAGCTGCTATGGTTGGTTGTTTTGCATTTTCTAAGGAGCTCATCATGTTTCTTGAAGCTCCAGTTAAAGCGCAAGGGGTCCGTTTTTTGCAGTTAGCCCCTGGAGAATTTTTCTTCACGACCCTTAAGGTTTGAGCTAGTTAATCTTATTCTTCGATTGTTCATCTTGAAATTATACCTCTCTTACCAATAGAAAAGATTTGGTTGAGTATTCCACTTTTTGTGAAAAAATCAAAATTCTAGTCAGCTGCAATTGACTCTTCCACTCACTTGTGTTATCCATAATTGTAATGTCCGCTTATTTTTTGCACTCATTATTTCGCTACTCATTGTCCAGTGATGTACCATATATACATTAAATGTTGACTCTAATCCAAGTGGTACTACCTGAAACAGCTTTCCATGACTTGCAAATGTTATTCTAATCATTAAAAGTATAGTAGATAAGCTAAGTGGATTTATGAAGGATCCTTTATAACTCCAACTTGCCTTCCCAAGCAACTGCAGTTGTGCAATCCTATTCTTTCAATGCAGACAGAGAACACTACTGTGGCCAAACGTACAAAATTTAGTAGTGGTCAATACTAAGTCATTGCATGTTACGAGTTTGTTTTCTTCTGTGCCTTCTCTTTACCTTATTTTTCTCTTGGAAATACCGTTATTCATATTTTCTTTATTGCCTTGGAGATGCGTGCTACATAGTCTATAAGCTTTAAGAATGGACATGCTTGTTATAGTTCATTCAAGCCGATGAGTGTTTTATTTTTGCATTGTTGATGACTGCATGGCCTATTACCACTGTAAAAAAGAAATGTCTTTTTTCCTTTTTTTATTTATTTTTTTTATTTTTTGCCCCTTGTTGTGAATTAGGTTTTATGGGTAGGATTTGTGCTCTAAAAAATTAATATCATCTTTAATGCAGGTATCAGGATATTGTGGGCTTCTGTTAGGAAGCCCCGTAATTCTGTATGAGATCATAGCATTTATTCTTCCAGGGTTAACAAAGGCAGAAAGAAGATTCCTGGGGCCGATCGTCCTTGGGTCCTCGATCCTTTTCTATGCTGGCATCACATTCTCTTACTATGTTCTTACGCCGGCAGCATTGAATTTCTTTGTTAGCTATGCGGAAGGGGTAGTTGAATCATTGTGGTCCATTGATCAATACTTCGAGTTTGTCCTTGTCCTCATGTTAAGTACCGGGTTGTCTTTCCAGGTAATGTTTTACTTTTAATGTACACCATTTTTCCTTTGACGATAACTATTTGGATCTGGCTGTTGTGTATCTTTTGTTTTACAAATTGGTGTTGACTTTTGACCAGCGGTTTACTATTTTCATTTCTTGCTGTCTATTAAGAATTAAGTTAATAAGCATTCAGCTGTTTTTTTTCTTTATTTCTGTAAGTGATTTCCCAATTCTTACATCATTATATTTGAAAACTGAGACTGACTGTCTACAAAATTTCACCTTTCTTCAGGTCCCAGTAATACAGCTTCTTCTTGGACAACTTGGGTTAGTCTCGTCTGACCAAATGTTGTCTATATGGAGATATGTGGTGGTTGGCTCAGTAATAGCGGCTGCTATACTCACCCCCTCGACCGACCCTCTTACTCAAATGCTCCTCGCGGGCCCGCTCATGGGCCTCTATTTGGGTGGTGCCTCAATGGTTAAGGCTTTAGGCCGGTGATTTTGTTTTATGTTTTTTCAAGTCATGACTGCGTACAACCATTTAGTATGTGTTTGAATCAGAATTGTATATGTGTATCACCTTTATTATCTTGCTCATTACTATGACTTTGGATATGTGTATCACCTTTTGGATATAATAATACGTATTTCGATTACATTGCGAGAGTTGCAAGCACACCTCAACTTTGATCAATTATCTGACAGATTTTTGGTTGTTTCATTAAAGAACCCTTCAAGCTGTGGGAGAATTGCACAAAATCCCCATGTGTAATGCCAGTTAACTTTGACTGTAAGAGAGAAATTGTGCAAAAATTGTGAAGGGTACAATGTTGCTGCATATGTCTTAAATATAGAGTGAGTTAACACATTTCCATTAAAATAGGGGAATTGTACTTTTACATTTAAAGCAGCTATCAAGAAATCATAATCAAAGCTATCATTTTTTTTTTCAGAATGGATTAATCCCTTGAACTTTTAATAACCATGAATTCCACAATCATTGATATTGTATATTTTCAACATCAAATCAAACCATATGTAAAATTTTACATCCAAGCAAATCTTTGTTCACACAACACCCAACAAATTCTTGATGAAAATGCTAAAGTCTAAAAAATAAAACTGAAAAAAAAATAGAGGTCTGAATAGTATCAATTTAGCTACACTCTATAGAAGACTGATTCAAAGGCTCTTCATCTTGCACATTGATTACCATAACATTCTCTTCCAGTGAGGGGCAAGGCTGCCCTTCTTCATTTTCATTGATTTCTGTCACATTCCCTTGCGGTGAAGGGCAAGGCTGCTCTTTTTCATTTTCATTGATTTCCATCACATTCCCTTCCAGTGCAGGGCAAGGCTGCTCTTCTTCATTTTCATTGTTTTCATTCTCTGGGTGAAAATTAATCGGGAATTTCGTCACTCTAGGTTTATCGACCAAAATGTTCCTTTGAATCTTATCTATTAAAACCTTCTGAGGTGGCTCTTCCCTTAGCTGCTCATCCTCATAGTCGTTATTCACGTAGTATCCTACCCGGATAAACTCCTGCCCTTGGTAAGAGCAAGTCAGGAGCAGCACAGTCACCCCAATAATGTCCTCCTCGCGAATCTTTGATGGGTCTGGGGGATCAGCCTGGAATTTAATTGAAATAACTCATCAAAGGCAAGAAAAATATTTTCAGGTGATAGAGCGTGAATAAACTCATTTGTTACCTGGAAAATAAAACGGTAGTTACCAACATTGACGGGGCCAACGAGCACGCTTTCTAGAACTTGGTCATATGTTTCATCCTCGGCTGATCCGACATAGACCAGTTTCCACTCCAAGTCTAAGGAAAATCAACAAGTATCAGAACATGCTACCAAGAATATACAACTTTTATGATAGAAACCAAACAATCTTGCTGAGACAACCAAAAAGAAATACATCATATGAGGTCCCACAGCATTTAAAACCACTGGCAAGGGGAACCTACACCATTACTGCAAATTATAGTTAAAATATATTGGGAATCTTTCATGGGTTTTGAGAGTCTAAATTGAATCTATAAACTTACTCTGGGTGCCAGAAAGTGAATAGAGAAGCTTTATGAGAACAAAAAAGGGGACTCTGGATCAAGCTTCAACTGCATACTAGGTAGCATTAGATCTTTAATTCATCATATAAACCCTCACAATCATATAAACCCCTGCTATACAAGTACCAGCAACAGGCCAACGTTTGGTCATCCGCAAAAAATGGAGCTCATCTTTCCCAAAAATAAACCACAAAAAAGGAGCTATGGTACATTTCTGAAAACCCAGATTTAATGCCTTAAAAGTAATGACTTAAGCAGGATAAAGAGAGTATTAGGTCCCTATAACACCAGGATGTCGTGGGGATACTCAAATTCATCTGTCAAATGGCCAATGATTTCACAGAGTACAGGAAATCGAAGAACTTGAGCAAAACGAAATTCAAAGACAAAAACTTCTAACAACTCTGACCCCAATAATCAAAACCGTTTGAAATTCATATTCCGATAAAGAACATAATCCAGTTGAGCAAATTGAAGTAATTAAAATGATCTTCGTACCGTCTTTGAGAGGAGTCAAACATTCATAGGAGATCTCGAATTGGAAGGGATCGACAAATGGAGCTGGGTTTCCCAAAACGGTGACGTCCTTCACATTGACGGCACTCATCTTCTTTTTTATTCGTCCGGCGAACTTCACCGGAAATCGGAAAAAAGACGATCACAGAAAGACAAACGAAACCCTAGAAATTGAAATTATGGGGCAATGAGGAAAAAGGCGCCCGGCGGAAGATTTTATACAGAAATGAAACTGACATTGGGTGGGTTGGCGGGAAAACGTTTTGCTGACAACTGGAGGAGCCGCGAAAATGAAAGCCATTGATAAAACAATGAAAAGCGCGATTATTAGGTTATGCTTTCGAACGAATCGAGAGGTAGCAATCGTGTTTTAAATGGATGGCGGCTTTTTTGTAAAGCTTTTGTAACNAATTTTGTATAAAAACTAATAAATACATTTAGAAAATAGTCCGACAGCTAAATAAGCAGTTCTAGAACTGAATCTAGTGGAAGAACAAATCTAAAGATCGTCTAGAACCTACACTCGTGACTCAGTTGAGGTTAAAGTTTGGGTAAATTAAATCACGATATTATTGCAAACTGCAAACAAAGTTATTACTATTTTTTGTTTCATTAATTAGGGCTATTTTGGAAACGTGAATGGAGTTATAGTTGGTTTGCGTTTGGATAGTAATATTGTGTTTTATACCACAAGGACCCACGAAGCACTAATACGGTACCTGACATGAGTACGATACGATATCGATATAGTGATGTAATATTTTTCAAATTTGTAAGGACACATGCATGTTGGAACTAGCTTTAGGCAAAAAACATAACTTTAATTCAGGAGCTTTCGTATTGAATAATTGAGAATCAAAACTGAATAACGGAAGTGTACTTGAATCCATAGGTGATTGATTTGAGGATTTGATCTTCTAGGTCTATACGATCGTATACCTTTTGGAGAATTATTTAGTTTTCTGTGTAACCTCTCTGTCGATGGGATGCAGAAGAGTATAGATTCAATCGTTCGATCCGTATGACCTAGGGACAACATCCCTTTATGTATATTAAGTTACATTGGAAATCTCTACTTTAGCTCATCATTATAATAGAGAAAACATTAGTTTCTACATATTAAAGGCCCACACCCTATTGATACTTTAAAGTCCAATGACTTTAAAATTTAATCGATCACTTTTATTTGGGCTTTTTTTGTTTGACAACCACAATACAAAAACTATTTCACATATTAGCCTAATGTTGGATTAATGATCCAACAATCTCCCACTTGGGCTATATGCGTAACTTTATAATTATATAATGCTAAATAACCTTATGAGTTCAAATTTGTTGTCATAACCAAATTTATCTTTAACCAATCCGATCCATCAATCATATCAACATAGGATCAAAGCGGCCTTTGTTACATTTATCGCAAGTCAACCCATCAATGGTCACAATGTCTATACAAATGAATGACGTGGATTATGATGTGGATGTGTAGCATGGAAACTACATGAAACGTGATCATCACATGTCTATTCCAACTTGGTCCACCTTAAACTTAAATGAGATCAACCATATTCCATAATCAAAGTATGAAACAACCGAAACTTAAATTTTGCAGAAATAACCTCAAAATATCCATAATACTGAAGTAACATGTATCTATATCAAAGAACATTACAAACTCCCACTAAAACTGAATATCTATCGAAGGCATTACACCCATACAAGCCGTAAGCCCATGAAACGTTTTGGGTGGCAACCCCTTAGTAAGCGGATCCCCAATCATGGAGTTTATTCCGATATGTTCAATAGATACTTTGAACTCTTTATTTAACAACTAGGAACTTGATGTCAATATGTTTTCACTTCGAAGAACTCCTATTGTTATTGGAGTACAACATAGCTGATTTATTGTCCCAAAATAACTTTAGTGGTCTTTCAATGCCATCTACATGCGCAGCCCCGTGACAAAATTTCGAAGCCATACTCCATGGTTGGACGCCTCATAACATGCTATAAATTATGCAACCATGGTAGAAGAGACTATAATAGACTGTTTAGCAGTCCTCCAAGACACAGCTCCTTCAGCCAACAAAAAAATATAGCCTGAAGTAGATTTTATAGTATCTTGGCATCCAACAAAATTAGAGTCGGTATATCCAACGATTTCAAGCTGATCTGACCTCCAATATTTTAGCATGTAATCCTTTGTTTTCTGTAAGTACCTAAAGACCCTTCTGGCTGCTTTCCAATGGTCTAATCCCGGCTTACTCAAATATCTGCTAAGCACACCTACAATGTAAGCACTTTCCAGACGCGTATACATTTGGGCATACATAAGACTTCCTACTACCGAAGCATAAGGAATCTTATGTATTTCTTTTTCCTCAAAATCATTCTTAGGGTTCTATTTGAGACTAAACTTGTCTCCCTTAGCAACACGGGTATCTTCTGGTTTGCAGTCTTGCATGCCATACCTTTTGAGAACATTTTCGATATGGCCCTTGTGTGATAACCCCAAAGTACCCCGAGAGCGATCTCGGTGTATTTCTATCCCTAACACAAAAGAGGCGTCATCAAGATCTTTCATCTCAAAATACTTAGCTAGAAAATTCTTGGTGTCGTGCAGTAAACTTATATCGTTGTTGACAAGCAAGATGTCACCGACATACAAAACCAGAAAATCTATACTTACTCGCACAAAACTTGTGGTATATATACTTACTTCGAAAAAATATAGTTATTTAAACTAAATTAAATACAAAATATTTATCTCATATAAATTAAAAAAAAAAATTATATTATAAAATAGTAAGTAGTGTAAGTGACGGTATCATTTTAAATATAAATAAAAATAAATTTTTGTTTAAAAGGTATTTAAAAAATAAAATAATTTTTGTTGTTATTATACTTCATTTTAAAAATAATTTTCTTAATAAGTGTTACACGTTTTTTTTTTATTATTATTTTTTAAATTTTTTACACGGTATTGTAGTAGTTAATAAATTAAAACGGAACAAAAGAGGAAATCTGTCATTGACTTAAAAATCTTCATCATCTATCAATCCCTCAAAACTTTTATTTTTCGTTATATCTTTTCGCCTCCGATCAATTGCCACCGCTCCAACCACCGGCAATGGCGTCTCCGTCCTCGACCACCGCAACCAATATCATGCTGGCGATCTTCGAGAAGAAGACGAACTCGCTCGACCTCTACCGGCCGCTGCGCAATTTCATCGTGATCAATTATTCCGAGCGCGAGGCGCAGAATCTGGAGGATGATCTTCAAACCTTGAAGCAGCTCCGGTCGGAAGTCGAGCGCGGAGGAGGCGCTGATTCTCCGTCGGCTCGGCGAGACCTCCTGCAGAGCTACTATAAAGCCCTCTGCGCGGTGGAGTCCAGGTTCCCGATTTCGCCGGACAAAGATCATGTCAATACGGTGTCGTTCACTTGGTTTGACGCGTTTAAGAATAAGCAGAAGGCGACTCAGCAGAATATACATCTAGGTGGGTGCTCTTTTGAAGTATTGATTAGTCGACCATTCATTTGTCATGCTGGAAAGCTCTTTTTTCATATTGTTGACATTGGGGAAATAGTTGACAGAAAATATAGTTCTCATCAGATATAACACGCGGTACATATGTGCTGATGCGAAAAATGCAACCTCACTAAAAAATAATCGTGTCTAATTTCAATTCTTAGGCATATGTTTGTTTAGTGAACCTCATGGAAAATTTAGTCTGTGGTTTGGCAGCTTAATTCCTGAAGTTACAAGAAAAGTTTATTGTTAGGCAACGGTTTACGAAAAAATTTCTTGCTAAAAGATTGATGATCTGCAATTTTCCTGGCTTTAAGTGTGCAATGACAAGTTTCAGTTGGCTTACTTGAGATACCAGTGTAACACCCAGTCATAAGATGATGACATGGTACTTCTGAAATGATATTTGCTGATATCTAATTTGATTCATGTAGAAAAAGCTGCAGTACTGTTTAATCTTGGGGCAGTTCACAGTCAAATGGGATTAAGTTTCGATCGCTCTTCAGTGGAGGGTAGGCGACAGGCATCACATTCATTTATAGCAGCAGCTGGAGCATTTGCATTTTTGAGGGATAATGTAGCCATGAAAGCATCAATTGGAGGCTCAACCACAGTAGATGTATCCGTGGAATGTGTGGGAATGTTGGAGAGGCTGATGTTAGCTCAAGCTCAGGAATGTGTATACGAGAATACCATTGCTAAGGGGAGCAGTCCTGGAGTGTGTGCAAAGATTTCAAGACAGGTACTTTTGTGACTGATTATTTTTCACCACATCTACATTTATTTTCTGATTATGCATGTTCGTTAATTATGATATTGGTCTTGGGAAAGTATGTTTCCGACACAGTGAAAATACTGAAGATAGCTTTTAGTTTTGTCTTATTATGTTAGAATATTAGTGTATGAACTGGTTTTGATGGCCAGCAGTTTGATGGCAAACATTTGAGGAGAAATAAGCAAATTGAGGGGAAACTATTATGTTCTAGAGAACAGGTGGTGTTAGTGAACTCTAGTAATTGGTTCCAGATCTATTAACGGTGAGTATGATTTGTGTCTCTACATCACACGTTTCTTCTCATCTATTTTATTTTTCTTTGATCCTCTCAATCCTATTGAGCTGAATACCTTCTTATTCTGTTTATGCGGAAGTTCTGGTGTTCTTTTGTCTGTAGGGAAATTAGTAATGGCCTCTGGTAAACTGTTACTATCTGAAGCAAATATTAGTTTGGTTGCTTAAGTTGAAATTCACTAGTCAAACTTTCTACGTCTTTTAGAGGGATCAGATTAAATTACTTTGGTGGAAACTGCACTGTATATTTTTCAAGGACACAATTTCTGTTAGGTTGTAGTTGTCTCTACCACGGATTGCCTGCAATTGAAAAATATTTAATCTTGATGTGTGGAATGATAAATTAACTACTTACGGGATCATCAAATATATTCAAGGCTCAATGTGCTTCTCGTCACATCATCTAGCACACAAGATGAGACCCTATTCCATCTATTGCTGAAAAACAAATGGTGGAAAAGGTCTTTGTTTATTTTTGAACTTAACTCAAATATTGTCACACATGTTTTTTAAACCTTGTAGTTCAATGATCTTGATTGCAGGTTGGGATTTTCTACGAAGAAGCCCTGTCAGCTCTGAGTGTTGCCCCTTTAAACCAGCTCTTTGAGAAGGCCTGGATAGCTCATGTTCATCTAAAATCAGCCTTGTTCTATGCAGAGGCCTGCTATCGATACAGTTTAGAGCTACATGATAATGAAGAGGTTGCTGAGGAAATTGCACGCTTAAAAAGTGGGGTTAGTGCCTTGTCTGAGGCCAAAAAGTCATCTCCTAGAGGTGCAGCTCAGCAGCTCTTGGATGCAATAAATAAATTAGAAGCCAATATGAACCGTAACCTGGAGAGGGCGGTGAAGGAGAATGACAGAGTTTACCTAATGAGGGTACCTCCGACCAGTTCTTTACCACCACTTCCCACTTTTTCCATGGTTAAGCCTATGCCAATGAACGAGGTGTTGGATGCTAGCAGAGAGAAGATGTTTGCGAGTCTTGTCCCTGACAATAGTGCGAAAGCTCTTTCAAGATACACTGAGATGCTAGATGACATCATTAGGACCCAGGCTGAGAAATTGCAGCAAGGAAGTGAACTGGCTCGAGTGAGGCTGAAGGAAATGGATTTACCAGATTCTATTCTTGCTTTGGATGGGAACTTCACTTTGCCAACATCTCTGAAAGAAGATGTAGAGGCGGTTCAGATATGTGGGGGCCCTGCTGGTTTGGAAAGTGAGCTTCAACAGCTGAAAGACTTGAGGAGGGTAAACCATGAGATGTTGGTACAGGTTGAGGAGCAGATACAGAAAGAGGCAATTGATGACTCACAGTTTAGGAATCAGTTTGGAACTCGGTGGACAAGGCCACAATCAAGTACATTGACAAAAAACTTGCAGGACAGATTAAACAGGTTTGCAGCAAATCTGAAGCAAGCTGCGGAAAGTGATGCCCGAATTGAGAGATCCGTGAGAGAACATTCAGCACTTATGTCAATCCTTGATGTCCGTCCAGTAAGTCAAACATTATTTGGTTAATTCTATCTGGCTTTTGTATCCCAGAAACTCATTGAATTCAGCTTAGCTATGGATTTTTTGGCATTGTCATTAGTCCATCTGGCTTTGCTATCCTCTAAACCTTTTAGATGCATCTTAGCAATTAATGCATCTTTAAACTGTTATTGCTTCACGAACATCATTGGACAGGGAAGAATGTATTGTAATGCTATGAATAACCCAATATCGAATACTGGTAATAATATTAGCAAAAGAACATGACCAGATTCTGAACCTTCTTTTTGTTTTTTTGTTTTTCTTTAAATTTATAAATAAATGCTGAACAATGAACTGCAAACTTACGGTTTAAGTATCAGTGTATTGTAGCAGCAAAATGTTTTAGATTCGGTTTGGTCTTGTAACCCAAACTATCCTCACCCCTTCATGTCATGCTAATATCAATACCATTATAATTGAGAACAAAACTATATATGGTCAAGTTTGACTTACCGTACAAGTCTTTTGCATTAGTTATTAAGTTTTCTGTTTTGACAGTATGTAACGTATGGCCTTGTGAATATTAAATCTTAAACTATATTTATTTTGTTCGTAACTATAGAATTATAATCCTTACGTTACTCATTTTTGGCTTGTCATAGATTGAGTCTGCCCTGCCAACTCTTGCTAAGCCAATAATGTCACTGGATGCTAATGAAGATGCCATAGTAGGAGCCCTAAAGCAGAGTCTGGTAAGTCATACTACTGAGGTCATAATTGATGGTCTTATCTTGATTCATATCTTCATTTGTACTTTCAGTCCTTTCCCCGCACTCCCCCTTCCCCCCATCATGTTGTCAATGAGCATAATTTTTTTACCAGTATAACAATAATGATCAAGGTGAGGTGTATGTTGTTTGACTTCAATTGTATGCCATCAATGAGGGTACCAAGGTGGTATGTTTGTCTCATGTTGCTGATTGGCACTGAAAGAATTCGGCTACTGATACAAAATAAAGTCAGTTTTTGCTTGTCGTAGCAGTGTATTGGATCTTTCTAGTGATGTAAAATAAATTGTAAATTCCCGTCGGCTTCTGAGGTGCATTCAACCTCAGGACTATGTTTCGTGTCTTTCTGGTGCATTTGACTTTGAAAGCGTTCCTTGACACAGTACTGCTTCAATCACGTCTTGCTCCTTCACATAGCTCCTTGTTCAAATACTTGAGAAAAGTATTATGCTGAAATGACATGTATGCATTCTATAGGTTCCATTTTAACCCCCAAAGGTGGAATAAAGAAACTGTTTTGACTTTGAAACGAAAGTTGAATTATTTCTTTTCAGAAGGTACAAAAATTTTGTTATTCTACTTATGGGGGATTTGGATAAAACGGTTAGTTTTGTAACTTGGGCGTGGAGACTATAG